GGCCCGCTCTCCCAGGCCCCAAGCGCTTGCGTCTCACGATGTGTGTCGTGTGCGGTCGGTGCGTGTCGTGTGTGCGGTGTTGATGTTTGACACGGGCAGGGTGAACACGTCGCGAGGAATCATCACCATCTTCGGTTCGATGCTGGCGCCACGCACCGGCCCGCTGCGTCATGTGCCGGGCCTCGAGGCGAGCAAGCCGGCTCGCGAGAGCCAGGCCCACGAGCAGCACCAGGAGGCCGAGGAGGCGGCCAGCGAGGAGGCCACACAGCTGCCCAGCAGCGAGGACTCAGCCAAGAAGGAGCAGAAGAAGAAGCGCAGCAAGCGGAAAGCCAAGGAGGCCGACGAGGAGGCGGAACAAGAAGAAGAAGAGGTCAAGCCCTCCAAGAAGACCAAGAAGGAGAAGACCCCCAAGAAGAAGAAGAGGCGCACCTCCGAGCAGTAGGACAGAGAGGAGTAGCACAGCCGCTACAATCCACAACAAATTAGTTCAAATAAGTTATCAGGCTGGCTTCTCGGCGGTGGTGCGCTTTCGCTTGGCGGTGCTGCCCGTGGTGGTCGTCGATGGCTTGGTTGCGCGGGGTGCCCGCTTGCGCGTTGGCGGAGGCGCGGCCGCGGAGGCCGAAGAGGGCAGGGTGAAGGCGAACGAAAACGACCCTACCTGCGCTCGCGGCGGTTCCTTCGGTGGTGTCGGTAACGACGCCTCCGCCGCCTCCTCCCTCTCCTCCTTCGCTCCACCCTCGGCCTCGTTCTCGTCCTTCTTCGCTCTCTTCTTCTTCTTCTCGTTCTGCTTCTTCGTAGCCGTTGCCTTCGTTTTCGTCGTCTTTGTCGTCGCTGTGGTTGTCGTACTTGTTGAAGTAGCCGTGATTGCTGTTGATGGCACGGGCCGGGCGGGTGGCGTCGTGGGCGGTGGTGACACGGCGGTGGCCGTGATGGTGGTCGGTGCGAGCGAGTCCCACAGATCGAACAAGCGGTTCTGTCCCTGCGCCAGATCGCTCTTCGCCCGCTCGGCCTGCAACGCACCCCACATTCCAGCACTCTCAGTCAGCACACAGCGATCGCACGCATGTGTGCGATGGGTCAGTCGAGAGGAGGAAGGGACTGTACGGCGTCGTGCTGGCGGAAGAAGCTGTGGTGCGCCACGTGCTGGCGCAGCACGCGCAGATGCCGCGCCTCGCCCTCCAGGACCCCGCTGCCGCTGCCGCCGCCGCTCGTACGCCCGGTCGCCTTCGACGGTTCACCGCCCTTGCTGGTGTAGTTGTCGTAGTCCTCTTCGTCTTCGGGGCTCAGAAGCGAGTCCTCCTGTGTGGCGCTGGTGAGGAATGCAGGTACGACACACGATGATGACACGACACACGCGGTCGGCGAGTGGTGTACCGCGTGGTGGGACTGTGGCGCAGGACTGGAGGCGGTGGTGGTCGTGGTCGTGGTGGTGGTCACCGGTGGCGACTTGAGGCGCACCACGAGGCCGCCGCACTGCCGCTCTGCGTCGCCGCCGCCGCCCTCAGGAGACGCGGGCGCCGGCTCCGATCCGCCGCCGCCCCAGGTGCTGGACAGAGACGCGTCCTCCACCTCCTCGAAGCTAGGCTCCTCCGCCTCCCCGTCACCACCGGCTGTCGACGATGACGCCGATGTCGATGCTCGAGACGAGCTGCTGGTCGCGGTGGTGGCCGTGGCCGAGGCCGAGGCACGAAAGAGGAAGGGTGGCAGCTGAAAGGCCGCCACGGGAGCCGGCAAGTCGGTCCAGGCCGCGGCTGCCGCGTCGTCATCCTCTTCTCCACCCTTGTTCTTCTTCTTCTTCTTCTTTTTCCTTTCATCTTCGAGGCCTTGGGGGCGGTCCGACCGGCGCAGCCACGGCGAAGTGGCGGCGGCGGGAGCTGGGCTGGCCGGACGTGGGGGCGGAGGTGCGGCTGCGAGGAAGGCACGGATGTCGGGGAGCTGCTGCTGCGGTCCGCCAGACTTGGAAGCCTGCGCCGGCTTGGGCTGCTTCGCTGGACCCCTACCCCGCCGTGCCCCCTTCATATCTCCCTCTCTTGTTGTGCGCTCGAAAATAAGAATAACAAAAAAGAACAGAAAAACAGCAAGATCGAGACGAGTCCGATCAGTTCCATTTGACGGAGGAAGGGCGCAATTGATTATGAAATGGAGAGGCATGAGAAGGAGAAAAAAAGGGTGCAGCGCCGCTCGTCGTGATTTAGGCGGATTGAGCGCAGAAGGGCGGGATGCTCTGCTCCTGTGCCTGCTCGGAGGCGGGGCACAGGGTCGAGGAGATGAGCGTGGCAAACTCGGTGGAGCCGGTGGAGGCGGCCCTCTTCAGCTGGTCGGCCAGGGGGTACTCCGAGGGCAGCTCGCGCAGGTAGGGCAGGATGCCCTCGGGGTAGGGCACGGTCCAGCGCAGCTCCTCGATGGTGACTGTGGCCCGCACGGCGGTGGGGGCGATGAGGAAGGCGCTGATGGGCCGGTACTCGTAGACGACCTCCGTGACGGGGCTCACGTGGTTGTGCGCCTGGTAGTGGGGCAGGGGGTCGCCCACGCACCCGCAGCTCTCCACCGTCTCTCTGAGGGGGCCGCGGGCGACCAGCTTCCTCCTGCCGGGCTCCTCCTCCTGCTCCTCCTCATCCACTACG